TATTTCCACAGGTGAACCTGCGGGTTGTAGCATTTCTGTCCTGCCCTGTGGTCTGTGCCAATGCCAGCACAAGCAGGTTTGGGTATGAGCGGAGCAGAACCATTCAAAAAGAGATTGCTTTTCTTATTCTTAAAAAAAAGTGATTCTTTAACAGTCCCCCCAAAATGGAAGTTACAGTTTTCTTGACCTGATCTCAGAAGAAACAGTAGTGTCCATTAACTGTATATTTCAAAGCTTCTGTTAATAACGGACAGGAAGTTCTTTGTACAATATGAAAACATAAATCCATGGCTGTCATTAATTTTTCTCCTTTCAACATCTCAGTTTATGTTCTGAAGCTGAAAGTCCTGCTGCAGGATGAGACCTGTGTAGAGGTTCTGGGTGAGAGGAAGGCACATGGGTGATAGGATGAGTAGCAGGAAAACTGTTCCTCCAATCTATGTGGTCAGGAGCCAAAAAAACCAATAGAGTGCCATGTGGTTAATTTGTAAAGAAAAAGAAAGAGAAGAGGAAAAGGGAGGGTTATGTCAAATGTTTTGCATCCTGTTGGAAGAAAAAAGAAAAGGAAGCCACGAGGATCCCATCATCTTGTTTGACATCTGCCAAAACCAAGGTGGAGGAGAAGGCACTGTCCTTCCAGAGGCCATTTCACTAAAATGGCTAGTGATAAATGATTAAATACCATCTGAAGGTCAAGTAAGCTTGCCTTTTAAAAATTAAAGCAAAAAACCAAGTCAGAGCCAAGGCTAGTCCTGGAGCAGAACACCCACCAACATGCCCACTTCTGCCCTGACAAAATCTCCAGACAGCAGCAGCAGCAAGACTCCAGCTGTTGAGCTCCAGTGTCTGTGGAGTGTAGACTTGGCTCTGTATTCTATTTTAATACTTTAATTTTTTTCTTCTTCTTGGAACTGGGGGCGTATGACAGAGAGGTAGCAAGCCTGAGGGCTCGGCCACTTCTCAGAATGGCATTTGGAACACTCTTTAATTTCTTTCCCTGGGTTTCAAGAGAGAAGTGACAGCTAGTTATTAAAGAACTGTCCCACCCAGAGATTAATTCAAGATTGCTTGTGGAGGTGAAGTAATAGCCAGAATTACCACTAGTTATCTTTCAAATTACTGAACTACTCCTATTTTTCTGAAGGTTGGGTATATATTTTGGTATTCATGTTTGGGTAACATGGATCTGTGACTCTGGGGTGTGCATGTCTATGAGTGGAGAGAGACAAAGTTAGATGATGAAGATGAGGAGAAGGAAAGCAAGAGGAGGAAGAAGAGGAGGGGAAGATTATTACCACAAAGAAAGAGAGGCTGGGGGTTCAAGGAAAAGAAAAAAAGAAAGGTAGGAAAGAAAGTAACCAGATAAAAAGAAACAAAGGAGCAAAAAAATGGGCCAGCAAGAAGGCAGCCAAGGATCATTTTCACAGTGGTGTTTTTCTTGTCCTGTCCTTTTAACATTAAGGCATTAATGAAAGGGGGAGAAAAGAGCTGTGTCTCAAGAAAAATTGGGGTGAATGAAATATGTTTTCTGGGGGGAGCATTTGAGCTCTATTCAGAGCCTTCCCCTTCCTCTTGGCACCTCCATATCAGACTGGGTTCCTCTACCCATGGCTCTCCAGGACCTTTGGAGTTTATGTGCTCTTGGATCTGCCTTTCTGGGCATGCTCTTTTTCTCTTTCCTGGTAATCAATTTTACCTATTTGACTCTCATTCCTTCAAAGCACTCCCTTGCTGTACTTGAAATAAATGTATTAATGCAAAGGATATGCATTCATTTTTCTAACATACCTCAACCTCCTAAAGTGATACTGGAAGGCATATTTTGGAATGGGTCTTGGGGAACACATGTCTATTGGAGTTGCTTATATACTCCACTAACCTGACCACATCAACCTGTCCTGCACACTTCCAAGCTTGTTTAAAAATTCATGGCCATTCATGCTTGGAAGATATTACAGTATGTCTGCATAGAGCATCTTATCAGAGTGAGATTCTAAAACCTTTAATCCTTGTATACTATACTAGGTATACTATACTACTATACTAGGATTATAAGGAGAAATACAATTGTATCATAATGCTTGAGAAAATTTTTATATCTCAATGTAAGAATTTCTATAATGTATTTTTTCCAAACTGCTGTTCAAAATGGAAATATGCACCTTTTTCTGAACCTCTTTATCCTCCTTACCAAATAATGATTGCGTCAGTGATTATCACAAAATCAAGAAGGAGAGGGAGTGAGCTTGATATTCTGACTCCCAAGGATGACTGATATGACAAGAAAGATTAGCAACCATTATTTTTTAGGCCCATTGTACCTCGAGAATCCCACTAATTGTAAGTGCACATTACAGTAGGGAGTCTCCCATGGATAGAAGCCAAAGAGAGGAGAATATCTAAATGTTGGGGGATAAGCATGTAAATGAGTAGTTCAGGGTGAGAGTATGGAGTATTTGTGTCTTTGTTTTTCACTCATCTCCTGTTCCACTGAGCATGAAGGGTAGACAGTTTTAAGAAGCTGAAGATCTGGAAAGTGTGTCAGCCCTGTGCCTGACATTCGTTCTCAGACTCTTTGGGACAATTATCTGGAGAATGAATCCTATGGATGAAGGCAGCAAGTGATCAGCAAGACTCACATCTATAAAGCTTTCTCAATACACAACATGCCAAAGTCTAGACCCAAGAGTCCATGGTGAAATACTAGACTCAACTGAGGTCTCATGAAGTCTGCATGCAAAAGCCCCCCACCACGTGGTGTTGTCCATGCTTAGTAGCCTAATGTCCTACTATTATTAAATACTTTCTGTAAGAAATCCTTGTTTCCTTAAATCATTAGTAGATGGATCAAAGAAAAGATCATACCAAATAACAGGGGTACTCACACAAAGTGGATCAAGCTCATTTCTCTTCTAGGGAAACATTCAGCATATCAGACTGCTTGCTGAAAAATATGCTTGATTAACCAGAAAATAATGGCAGTTAAAAAGTTTAAGGGGAAGGAAGAAAAAACAAAAAGGAAAGAAGCCCATTAGCTTGTGGACACATACCCCCACTTCAATAACGATTAACCCATGATTCAAGGAATTTTCTTAGGCCAACCTCAGACACAAACCTGCCAGAAGGCAGACCTTGACAAATTGAACTTGAGCATATGGTATCTTAGGAGTGTGTTCAGTTTGGGGATGTGTAAGATAATAGTCCCTGATAATTAAAACAGCACATTTGTTTATAAGCATAACTTGATCTGGGGCATATTGCTAGAAATTTTAGCAAACACAATGTTTCTTTAAGGACTGAACTTAAAATATACTCTGAATAATTTCTTTCACTAAATTACTTGAGTAAATGAGTTCTGTTAGATGGGTGACCAACAGATTCAAAGTGCTCCTTGATCATTTTGAATTGTGTAGGTGGAAATCTGAATAGCTACATAGCTGATTATACTGGGGACATGGTCTTTGTTTCAGGTTTGACTTGCAGTCTTTAGTAACTTGAAAATTATAGAGGCATTTTCGGACCCTATATATAACTAGGATCCTCCTACATATGGCTACCTAGGTGTTTAATTTTTTTTTCTTGGCAACTTAGTAATTTGCATTTTGAAATCTCTCCCTGGATCTGTGGGAAAAATGGTGGATCCATCTTTCAAGATACATGGCTTTGCCAATTCTTTGTCTTCCAACCCCTCACCAGTTTCCATGCTAATTATATTAACATCAAGAAATTGTATTTGAATGTTTGGCCTGAAGTGAATATCTCCCAAAGCATATCTGTGAACGAGTCCTCATGGGAAAAGGGTTGCAGAAGACATCAGATCACCTTGGTCCCCAGACATTCTAACTAGTTAAATAACAGCAGGAGTTCTTAAGAATAGGATGTCCATGAACAGAAAAGCAGGGAGGACAATAAGTGTTTCGAAAAATAGTAGGCATTCTTCTATAAAGTCTCTGGAGGCCTTGTCAGAAGACAAGCTTGTATTTATTTGGAATCCTTAATTCTAGAAACATTGGTCCTTACAGCCTGGATAAATGACTCAAATCATTCCAATTGAAAAGAACACGAAAAGAAAACTAACTCTAAATCACAGTTTGAAAGATGAACATCTGTAATTTAGTTTTCAATTACCACTTGGTATGTAATGACTTTGCTTTAAAGTATGTGTGCCTAATAACCATGAATTGAGGTCGTATCAGGATACTAATCACTGGCCGCCTGATTCCTTGGTTTGTACCTGGGCTTGGCTGTCTTGAGTGATAGTTTATGCTGGAATATATGTATAAATCACTCTTTACCTTCCAGACTGAAGATTTTTCTATACTTTGAATTTGCTGGCAAATTAAAATATGAAGGCATGAAACAGTCTTCTAAAGTGGATGCTCAGATTGCAAAGAAATGTTTTCCTGTCATTGTCCTACATGTCATTGTTTATATATTATTTAGTACCCTGAGAGTCATCTAACACTCTTAAAAAATCTGTTTCATTTGGATATGGCTCAAGGTAAGGTACCGATTAAAGAGCTGTTTCTTCCCAATCATACAGATAGATAGCGACACCCCAAATCCATTGGTGGAAATTGATTTTCTGCCACATGTCATGAAATCACCAGGGAAGTACAACATAAAGCAAATATTTATTCCCACAAGGGAGAATGGAGCTCAGTTTTATGATGGACATCGGCAAAGTCTATGGTTTAAATTACAGACTAACAAAGGGTTCATGAGCTCAAAATTAAGTTATTCTGTTTAAAATCAATCACAGAGACTGTCATTCTGCTTATTGCTTTGACTTCCTAACAAAGATTTAAATGAGGACTTTATGTACAAGTAGAAAATGTCCAGAGATCTGCTCTTTTTCAGGCCTGTGTGGGCAGGTCAGGCAAACGTTTAGGCCTTTAATGTAATTAGAATGAGAAGTATATTTTTCAAGGAAAAAAAATTAAATCTTTAAGTTTGATTTTATTTTTAATTGAAAAACAGTAATTGTATGTATTTACAGGGTATAATTTGATGCTTCCATACATGTATACTTTATGGAAGGATGGAATCAGACTAATTAACATATCTGTCACCTTAAATATATACCATTTCTATTGGATGGAAACAAAGTAATTACATCTTTATAAAAAAATTCCACAAATCCACAATTAAACCATCATCTGAAAGAAAATGTTAGGGAATAAAAGGTGGGGTATATTTGAAGGGCACGAGGCTCATTAATTCCAGAGTTATTGCAAAGATTCCGGGCAGGAAATCCTGGCATCAGGATTGGGGAGAAGGATCCAGAGAGTATCGCCTTTACCAGCAAAGTGCATTCAGACTGTGATTTTGAGAAAGAGTGCTTCTCTTTTGTCACTTGGTTTTATGTTGGGTCACGACTCCAGCGCTGAGCAGCTCCCCAACAGCTCTGTCATCGTATCCAAGGACCTCCTTCAGGATGCACGTTGTGTGCTGCCCAAGCAGGGGAGGTGGCCTGGCCTCTGACATCTTGAACTTACTGTATCTCACAGCTGGGCCTGTCAATGGAGGGGGAAAGCAGGAAGCCTGTTAATGACTAACCCTGGGAAGTTAATTACCTAAGCAGCCTGGGGTGTTCTCAATGAATGCCAAGAATATCAGTGCCAGTTACACCCTTGCAGATGCACCATCCTTTTGGAAAGGAATGTATTTACGCCCATGGCTTTTTTTGACTCAGGTTCATCCAACTGTGTAGTGGTCATCTGACCTATCGCCATGTAATAGTCTGCATGTTTATGTGTGGGTATGTGCTAAGCCTGCTCAGAAGTTGTCCCTCCTAATTACAAGGACCCTCAGATGCAGGATATCCAAACCTGGGTCCAAGAGAACAACAACCACAGATACAAAGTGTCTCTCTGTAGCTAGAAATCTGAACTGAGGTGAAGACAACCTGAAAGGCTACCATCCAGTGTCTGTTATACAGTAACAAGATTTAGTTGGATAGATTCAGACCAACTAGATTGCAACCAGACCCTGGTTAGACTTTCAGCAGTAAGAGGAGATCACATGTACAAGCTTCAATGTCAAGTAGGACCCTCTTGGAAAAATTCCTTAACTTCTCTGAACCTCGTGTTCCACAGCTGCATACCAGGTATGATAATGTTCACCACACAGGCTCAAGGTAAGGATTTAATTGAGAAAATAGGCAGAAAGTACTAAGTAAGCATTCCCTAGCCCATAATAACACACACAACTTGCTGGCTACTATGATTAGAAAAGCTGCCACATCTCTCTTGAAGCTTGCAGTGTAAGGGGAAAAGGACATTTATTGCCAGCTATTTGCCAAGCACTAAGTCACTCTAAACAGGGTAATTCAAGCAATACTTTCAACAACTGCTAGAAATGGATTTTATTATCCCCATTCTTCACATAATGACACGAAAAGCCCCAAAAGCTAAGGTTTTGCTCAAGGCCACATGGCTAATAACAGTGTCAGGATGAAATTCCATGTCTCATATTAAAGGCCAAGCACTTTCTATAATGCCAGTGGCCTCTTCTTACTTTTCCCTTCTCCATGGACAAGCTGGACACTGGGGAACATGTTTTGACAAATTTTACCTTTGTTACCTCATTCAGTAAATGGTATTTATATTGGGTGTCCTTTTCATCCTATTTGATCAGGCTTCATGAGAACAAATTAGATAGTGGTCCCAAGAAGACTTTGTAAAATAATACATTTCTATGTCCTAAAAAAATTTCCCCCAGCCTACTGATGATTTGAGGAGCCACAGGAACAATAAGGAAAATAAAATGGGGGTAGGTAATGGAATATCTGTCAGTAAAGCAGCAAATGTGCTTTGAACTCTTTGGAGAATTCCATTAATAAAAATGCTTTCAAACAAGCCATTTTTTACCGTGTTCACAGATCTTTTAAAACCATCAACTTGCAGCTCTCTGTGCCACTTACCATCCACCATATACCAATGACAATTTCCAACTGATGCCTAAAATTTCCCTTCTCTGAAGCCTAGTTAAATTCATATTTTCTTCTCATATTTTTCTCTAATTTGAGAAAAATGACTCTTTTTTTTCAAGGATTGATTTCTGTTTGTAAAGGAGGACACAATTACAGCACACACAGGGAGGAAGCAAGGTCCACCACTTTCCCAAGATTGTTGATGATTTTATGTTTTAGCTATTTTATTCTTACTCCTTGATCCCTCAGACTCTGTTCCATTTTGATATCAACTTAAAACAGTTTTAATTCAAATTCTGTCTTTCAGAAGAAGAGCTCTTCCGAGGGATTGCCAACCTAAAGTCAATATCATGTGGTTTTATATTAAATGAAATACCTGGAGTGAGACTACAGAATGAAATGCAGTCATGTCACTGTACCAACAATCTGGGTTGGAACACAGCTACTACTCCTGCTGGTGGTAGTAGCTGTAGCAGTGAGGAGGAGGGAGCAGTCATTGTTGTAGCAGTACCTACTGCTCCTTAAGAATAGCCAAACATGCACCAAAGCTTTTACATATATCATCTCTCATAATCCTCAAGATTATGGGCCTGTCTGCAGGGTAGTCTATTATAATCATTTTTCCAGATTAGAACATTGGAGGGAATGGAAGTTTCAAAGAAAAGGTGTTAGAGTTAAGGGTAGGGGATTAAAATAACATGGCCAAGGCCAAACAACTTTTTTTTGTACTGGAAATTGAACTAGGGGAACTTAACCACTGAGCCACATCTCCAGCTTGTTTTATTTTTTATTTTAAGACAAGGTCTTACTAAGTTGCTCAGGACCTTCCTAAGTTGCTGAAGCTGACTTTGAACTTGCAATCCTCCTGCCTTATCCTCATAAAGTCAGTATCCAATTTCAATTCTGGTGGTTTCCAGAACTTGGGTCTTAAAAATATAGGTAGATAGATGATAGATAGACAGACAGATAGACAGATAGATAGACAGACATAAACATACACTCATATAGTTATATGTACGCATACTTTGCTGAAGATAAATTTTCATAACATAAAATGAACCATATCAAAGTTAACAATTCAGTAGCATTTAGTATATTCACAAAGCTGTGCAACCATTACCTTTATTCAGTTCCAAAATATTTCTATCACTACAAAATAAAACCATGTACCCATTAAGCAATTTGTCCCTATCCTTCCTCCTTCCAAACCATGATAAACACTAATTTACTTTCTGTCACTATAAACTCATTTTTTTTTTTTTTTTGGTACTGGAAATTGAACTAGGGGAACTTAAGCACTGAGCCACATCTCCAGCTTGTTTTATTTGCTATTTTAAGACAGGTTCTTACTAAGTTGCTCAGGACCTTGCTAAGTTGCTAAGGCCGATTTTGAACTTGAGATCCTTCTACCTTATCCTCCCAAATTGCTGGGATTACAGGTATGCACCACCATACCCAGTTTATCTCTTCTTCTTTTTTTCTACTTATATACCCAACAAGGCTTTCTTACCTATATATTTTTAATTAATTAATTATTTTTATTTATATATAACAGCGGAATGCATTACAATTCTTATTACATATATAGAGATAATTTTTCATATCTCTGGTTTTATACATAGTATACTCACACCAATTCGTGTCTTGATAATGCTTATAAATGAAATAGTTTATGTGTTTCTTTTGTTTGGCAGAATGTTGTTGAGATTCATCTACATTGTGTCAGTACTTAGAACCTGGATTTTAAATGTCCATGCAGCGATCAAATGAGGAAACTCTTCATGTCTCACCATACTAAAGAGCAATACAACTGTGTCACTCCCTTCATGCAATAGTTTTCTGGTAGCTTTGAGGGCTACATGAAAGGCTATGCTACCAGTGTAGATAAAGGGTATTTAACCCTTTGCATAAAAAATCTTGAAGCATTTAGGTTGGTGGAATTTTATTCTTCAGCAATTTTTTATACTTGTCAAGACAAAGATATCTCTACCATTTTAGGTTTTGCACAAAGAGAATAAAAGGGCACACCAAATACATTTGTTTCAAGAAGCAGAAAATGTTTGACAATTATTTATATCTAATGTCTAAGAAGAATGAATAATCTAATTTTCCATTAAAAAATAGATGAGCAAGTCACATGTTTTTGAATTTTTGGCAAGGTATCATCTATGTTCTTCTACACTTCCAAATACTTGCAAGCTGTGTGATCTTGAGAATTCTTAAGGCCCAAAGACTCTGTCTATACATTTATAAAATGAAGTTGACCACACACTATTGAGGGTCTATTTGTTTATTAAATATTATAATCTAGACAATATTCAAGATCAGTAATAGTCAAAGAAATGTATAAGAACATAAATACAAGATGAAATTATGTTTATAAAATTAGTCAATCATGTGAATATTTTTGTTTTTGGAATTTGACTTTTGGTCAAAGTATAAATTGATGCAACCCTTCTTGAAAAATTTGCCAACTGAATATCAAAAATTTTTAAAGCATTCACATGTTGAGTGGAGAAATCCCATTTAAAATTTTTTTCCTGTAATCTGGAATGTTGATAAATTTTATAGAAAAGGATGAATACAATTTTCTAAATCTGCCTGTTGATCTTAGCAACTCTTGACTTACTATGTGGATTTTTACCCTACAGCCCAGGAAAGTTCTTTGGGGAGATTCTGGATTTGTTAATTATTACTATATTTTTGTGGGATGGGTACCAGGGTTGAACTCAGGGGCACTCCATTAAGCCACATCCCAGCCCTATTTTGTATTTTATTAGAGACAGGGTCTCACTGAGTTGCTTAGCACCTCAACTTTTGCTAAGGTTGGCTTTGAACTCATGAACCTCCTGACTCAGCCTCCCGAGCATCTGGGATTACAGGCGTGCGCCATGGTGCCCAGCTTATTATTACTATTACTTATTTATTTATTTATTTGTTTATTTGCAGTGCTGGGATCAAAACAAGGCCTCATAAATGCTAGGCAAACGTCCTAGCTGAGTTACATTTATAATCTGAAGGACTCCTATTTTACCTAATCTTTGTATCTGCTTATTGCTTTGCAGGTTGCTTTTTTTGTGTGTTCAGCTCTTCTCCTTTTATGTATTGGTTCCATAGGTCTATCTCTAATCTTTCTCTCCCAGATAAAGAGGTTAAATAGTTATAATAATGGGAAAAACAACAGGAAATATGTTCAAAATTTAAGACTGATTAGATTAATTACAGCGTGTCCAAATGATGACATACTATATTTGGTAATTCCGAGTTGTACTTTTTGGCTTTGAATATATTGCTTTTACATCCTCCTGCAACCATGCTGGAATATAAATATATAAATTGAACAAACAAAAAAAAAATGCATACAAATGGAAGGAATGAAAAGGAATATCCCTAGTGAATGAGATTATTCCCAACTAACTTCAGAAACATGATGATGGGATCATCTTGATGGGTAAAAGAGGCAGAAAAAGCTGAAGCCTAGAATATTCTACAAGGAAACTGTGAAGAGGTGGATGAGAAGAGGTGGGTGACAATTGGTCTGTTTCACCCTCCAAAGACTGATCTTAAAATAATTGGTTATGA